TCACCACCACAGGTTCGGGCTTTGAGCCCTGCCACTACCAGCTTCTATGATAGACTGCTTTACTATCGAAAGTGTCACCGACTGGTGATGTAACGTTTTCAGTCTAACCGTCAAGTTCCATGCGTAACTGAACATCAAACTTACATATTGTACACACAATGAGCTCAATGAACTACAGAATAACTTCAAAGGAAAATACCACATCGCAGGACTGATCGATTTACGGCCGGGACAATTTGGCTGCATCTCAAAAATTGCGTTTTCGACACTGCACTATTTTGAGATGCACAGATATCGTACTAAGCATAAATTATCTAGTGTTACTGCATGATCTTTTCTTTTGTAATTGATTTGGAGAAGGAATTATGGAAGATAAGTGGAATTCTTTTCCCATTACATTTACTGAACCCATTCGAACTATTTTGTACTCAGAATGGCCTATATCCTTCAAACTGTCGCGAAACTTGGTCTCTCGAAGGCTTCTATCAAACCTTACCTGGACTTGGCCAACGATGTGTTGGATCAAGCAGATGAACTTAATGGAAATCAGTTGTTTGTAAGTTACTCGCTTTCTTTACTTGTAGCTTGTTTCAAATAATGTTAATATGCAATCTGTTACTAATACAATTTTCCATCTCGACTAATTTTGTATCTATCCAGTTTGAAAGAGGCATATTTACTACAACCATGGTAGCTCAAGGAGTCGCTGACATCATCACATCCTACGGTGAAATGGAGGGTATCTCTGAGGTAAGTATATTAGAAAAGCAGTCCATCGATTATGTACCAATCCTTTTCGACAGAGCTGTCCTTCACAACTCTATGGTTTAGTAGTTTGCCAGAGCGATTAGTTAGTAGGATCACTGGCATGATTCCAATCAACATTAAGAGTAAAGTTATGACCTTGGAATTGGATGATCTTTCCTCGTGATTTTGTAATTGTAAAATTCACTTGTTAGGCTTATCCCGCACCTCGTCTTGTATCTTATCAGCGTATTATTGCCTCATCTTTCCTTGATAAAAAAATCTCTTTGTAAGCCATGCACGTATGTATTTCACACCAGTCTGAATCCATACTCTACCAAACAAATAATAGTACACTAATATTTATACGAGATAAAAAGTTCCATAATTTGTTTGTGGGCGGAATACTTCCAGGTTACCCAGGCCAAGTCAGGTGAGTATTTTTGGTGAATTCACAATAGCGGCCTTTGACTAAATAGTGTGACGCAAACCGGAGTTTTTGGCTAACCAAAGCTTAACCCACAAGGCAGCAAAGCTATGCGTAAAAGCCGCAGTCCATTAGGGTCCGGTGTTTAGTTCGTCGGATCATACGCCCTCTAGACTGGGTCAACCGTCCAAGGCGCCCCATACACTGTAATGCCCAATTCGAGCCAATGATCACTGCCCCAACCGGAAAGGTGTGGGTGAGTGTGGTTCGTACCCCTCTTCTTGGCTAGGTTGGAATGAGGAATTTTAGCCAACTCCCCTAGGTGAACTGTTAGGGGTTCACCGACCAGGTTATAGCTCTGGATATTGGCTTTTCATCCTCTCACTTTGGTGGGAAAATACTACTACGAGAATGCAGTTAGCAGGGCTTCCTTAGCAGAAGCTATTTGCGACGATTGGTCTTATAGGAGCATTTCATGAGGTGCAAGATTAAGTCATTGTTACCTTTGTTCTGTTCCGTCGTGATTTCAACTATAGAATATTGCCATTATTATCTGAATGATACTTCACAAACTGCACTCACCTAGCATAAGGGAACCTGCGAGCTATACAGGATGGCTCGTCACAGCCGCATATCCAATCATGCCTGAAAGGTCATTGGGTATAGGCCAGATGAAGATCAGTCTCAAGGCCAGCTGCTTGGACATCTTTTGGCTCCCTTTGACTATCCACTCTCATCTGAAGAAGTCACTCCAGTAAATGAATACGTTGAGGGACAGTTTACCGATCGAAAACCCCCGCTAACTGAACGTAGGAGTAGGTTTACCTGGGGCTTCCTTCTGACGGTGGGAGAAGTCTTCGCAATTCACTGGACAGCTACCACCAGCCCAAGCTGGGTAGCCCCCAATCAATAAGGTGCTGTCCCGTCCATGTTCCGCTTGTGTCATTGTGTGCATGAAGCTAAGGGCCGATCCCAAAAGCAAACAACACACTAAACTGAAATTCAAAGGCCTTGTATTGCAGGTCTCCAGAAGCTCCCACATGGGTACTTCGGTCACGCTCCTGCATTGGATCTGCGCCCACTGCCTTATGGGTCAGACTTTTAAGTCAAAGTCTTAGGTACCCACTTGGAAAGCCCTCTCTCATTTGTCCAATTCTCACTCCCAAATCACTGGAGATGCATCGTGTTTGCGCCACCCACCGGATATCACTCAACGTTCAACCACTCAGATTTATGAAACCAAAATCTCCTTTTCACTTAGCCAC